GACAACGACGACGAGCGAAAGCGAGAGCGAGAGCGAGAACGAGAGCGACAGCGGGGCCACGAAGGGCATGAAGGGGGCCACGAAGGGCGACAGCGGGGCCACAAAGGGCATGCTTATGGGGCCACGACGGGCGCGAACGAGCGGGGGCCACGAAGGGCAGATAATGCGGGGCCACAGAAAGCAACGACGGAGTCACTGAGGGTAGCAACGGGGCCACGTAGGGCAGCGAGGAGGCCACAAAGGGCGACAGCGGGGCCACGAAGCGCATGCTTATGGGGCCACGACGGGGCGCGAACGAGCGGGGGCCACGAAGGGCATCCATATATTGGGCCGCAGAGGGCAACGACGGGGCCACTGAGGGCAGCAACGGGGCCACGAAGGGCAGCGAGGGGGCCACGAAGGGCGACAGCGGGGCCACGAAGCGCATGCATAAGGGGCCACGACGGGCGCGACAAAACGGGGGCCACGAAGGGCATACATGTATGGGGCCGCGAAGGGCAGCGAGGGGGCCACGAAAGGCTGCAACGGGGCCACGAAGGGCAGCGAAGGGGCCACGAAGGGCTGCAACGGGACCACGAAGGGCAGCGAGGGGGCCACGAAGGGCTGCAACGGAGCCACGAAGGACAGCGAAGGGGCCACGCCACGAAGGGCAGCGAGGGGGCCACGAACGGCTGCAAAGGAGCCACGAAGGGCAGTGAGGGGGCCACGAACGGCTGCAACGGGGCCACGAAGGGCACCGAAGGGGCCACGAAGGGCTGCAACGGGGACCACGAAGGGCAGCGAGGGCGAACTTGCTGGGCTGCGAAGGGCCACGAAGGGCTGCAACGGGACCACGAAGGGCAGCGAGAAGGCCACGAAGGGCTGCAACGGGGCCACGAAAGGCTGCAACGGAGGCCACGAAGGGCTGCAACGGGGCCACGAAGGGCAGCGAGGGGACCACGAAGGGCTGCAACGGAGCCACGAAGGGCAGCGAAGGAACGAGGGGTCCACGAAGGGCTGCAACGGGGCCACGAAGGGCAGCGAGGGGGCCACGAAGGGCTGCAACCAGGCCACGAAGGGCAACGAGGGGGCCACGAAGGGCAGCAACGGGGCCACGACGGGCAGCGAGGGGGCCACGAAGGGCAGTGACGGGGCCACGAAGGGCTGCAACGGGGCCACGAAGGGCAGCGAGATCCCGATTCCTAAATAAGCTGTAAGGGAGTCTTAAGCGTGAGCGCGACTCCTGGGTGCCTGAGTGTCGGGAGCTCGGCGCTCGAGTAAATTTCTAGGAATTCCAACGCAAGAGCGCGACTCTGTAGTACATTGCAAGCAAATCTCCAGCGAGAGCGCGACTCCAGAGCGCCGCGAGAGCGACCCCTTAATAAAGTAAAAGGAAATCCCGAGCGAGAACGCGATTCCTCAGTAAAATGCGAGGAAGTCGCAGGCGGGAACGGGGGCCCTGGCTAAGCTGTAAAGAAAGTTCCAGCGGGAGCCGTTGTTGTTGTAATACGGGTGCCAAAATCCAGTTTGAGCCCCGTGACCTTCCCAGATATAAAAAAAAGGCTGCGAGCCCCGGAGGAAGCACTTCAACTGAAAAAAACACAATGGTCACTGGAGAGGGCCCAGCAATATCTATGTTTCAATAATGAGAGTCCAACGGCGAAAAAATGAAATCTATAACTACTATAAATAAGAATCGTAGTAGTAGTAGTAGTAGTAGTAGTAGTAGTAGTAGTAGTAGTAGTAGTAGTAGTAGTAGTAGTAGTAGTAGTAGTAGTAGTAGTAGTAGTAGTAGTAGTAGTAGTAGTAGTAGTAGTAGTAGTAGTAGTAGTAGTAGTAGTAGTAGTAGTAGTAGTAGTAGTAGTAGTAGTAGTAGTAGTAGTAGTAGTAGTAGTAGTAGTAGTAGTAGTAGTAGTAGTAGTAGTAGTAGTAGTAGTAGTAGTAGTAGTAGTAGTAGTAGTAGGCAGTAGTAGTAGTAGTAGTAGTAGTAGTAGTAGTAGTAGTAGTAGTAGTAGTAGTAGTAGTAGTGTAGTAGTAGTGTAGTAGTAGTAGTCGTAGTCGTAGTCGTAGTCGTAGTCGTAGTCGTATCGTAGTAGTCGTAGTAGTAGTAGTAAGTAGGTAGTAGTAGTGCAGTAGAAGTATAGTAGTAGTAGTAGTAGCAGTAGTAGTCAGTAAGTAGTATCGTCGTCGTCGTCGTAGTAGTCGTAGTCGTAGTCGTAGTCTTAGTCTCCGTAGTCGTAGTCGTAGTCGTAGTCGTAATAGTAAGTAGTAGTGTAGGTAGTAGTAGTAGTAGTAGTAGTAGTCGTAGTAGAAGTAGTAGTAGTAGTAGTAGTAGTAGTAGTAGGAGGAGTAGTAGTAGCAGTAGTAGTAGTAGTAGTAGAGGAGTAGTAGTAGTAGTACTAGTAGTAGCAACAGCAGTAGTAGTAGTAGTAGTAGTAGTCGTAGTAATAGTAGTAGTAGTAGTAGTAGTAGTAGTCGTCGTCGTCGTCGTCGTCGTCGTAGTAGTAGTCGTAGTCGTAGTCGTAGTCGTAGTCTTAGTCGTAGTCGTAGTCGTAGTCGTAGTCGTAATGGTAGTAGCAGTGGTGGTAGTAGTAGTAGTAGTAGTAGGAGTAGTAGTAGTAGTAGCAGTAGTAGTAGTAATCGTAGAGGAGTAGTAGTAGTAGTAGTAGTAGTAGTAGTAGTAGTAGTAGTAGTAGTAGCAATAGTAGTAGAAGTAGTAGTAGTAGTAGTAGTCGTAGTAGTAGTAGTAGCAGTAGTAGTAGAAGAAGAAGAAGAAGGAGTAAGAGGAGTAGCAGCAGCAGTAGTCGCAGTAGTAGTCGTAGTAATAGTAATCATAATAAAAGTAGTAGTAGTAGTAGTAGTAGTAGTAGTAGTAGTAGTAGTAGTAGTAGTAGTAGTAGTAGTAGTAGTAGTAGTAGTAAAAGTAGTAGTAATAGTCGTAGTAGCAGCAGTTGTAGTCGTAGTCGTCATCGTAATAACCATAAAAGTCAGATCCCTCACAATAATGAGAATACGAATCATCCGAATACGAATAGTAAAGATAAAAACGCTAATAATACGAACTGCGAAGAATAATAATAAGACAACTACTACAAATAGCAATAATAACCATACGAATAGCGTTAACACTAGCTTTAACACCAGTGATACGAATAACAATAATGATACAACAAATGAATTATAACCAGAGGGATAGAGAGGAGGAGGTGGAGAAGAAGAAGACTACTAAGAATCAGATGTCCTCAAAAGAGGAACGAGCCATTCCCCAACGCAAGGAGGGGGCAGGTGCAGGGGAGCGCCGCCACCCCCTTTAAGAAGGGCGCGTGGCGCACACTGCTTCGTTGTCAATTGAAGCGGCCCCTTCTGAGAAAACCCCTGTTCCCTGAGAAAGCCGCCCCCTCTCCCCTAAAACGACGGCATAATCGAGACAGCATCGGACCGATACAGATCGTGAACCTCCGCGAATCGGCGGGGCTTGGAGGATGCATCGGGCGCCGCGGCCGTCTCAGAGCGTCCTGGAACGCTGTGAGAGCGTCCCGGAACGCTCTGGACGGATTTGCGGTCGGCCCGTATCATAAGGATGCGCGGTAAGGATGCAAGGGCCTTGGAAGGCCATCCCGAAGCTTTTCGAGCGGGGCGCGGCCAACGAAAGTGGCCAAGGATGGACAAGGATGCAAGGGTACCTTTGGGATGGCTGCCCATCCTTACCATGGACCGATTTATCTGGACTCGAGGCCTGCCTGATCCTCCTCGCACCCCGAGGGCATCCTACAGAGGTGCGCCAGCCATAAACACGCCGACCCTGACTAGGGGGGGGGGAGGAAGAGGAGGAGGGGGAGGAGGAGGAGGAGGAGGAGGAGGAGGAGGAGGAGGAGGAGGAGGAGGGGATCGGTGCACGCGCCCTCCTGGGCTGGCCAGGGGGCCATGTGCACGCCGAGCCTGGGCCCGGGATGGGCCTGGCCAGGGCCAGTGCACACGAGAGGCCTCGAAGATGTGCTGAGGAAGCCTCGAGCAAAACGCCTGTTTTCACGCGCCCCGGTCGCCCAGGCGGATGTCAAACATGAGGATGTGTAGAGGATGTCTCAAGCAAAACACTCGTCGCAGTAAAATGCGTCGCAACCCAACCCCGCCCGTCCGGTCCGTGGGGCGTCCCCTGGCGCGCTGGTCCGTCCCTTGGCGCGTCCTTTCCAACGTTCTGGCGTGACTTGCCCTGGCACGTTCCCTGGCACGCTCCTCGGCGTGGCACATTCCCTGGCTCGTCCTCTGTCGCGTCTCCTGGCTCTTCGTCAGGCGTTCCCCTGCCCGTTCCGTGGTGCCCCTTGCCACGTCCCTCGGCATGACGCCCTCTGGCCCGCCCAATGGCACGCGCCTCGGCACGTCCCGTGCACGTCCAAGGCACGTCCCGAAATACGTCCCCTGGCACGTCCTCTGGCGCATCCCCTGTTGCGCCTTTGGCACATCCTGTGGCGCGTCCGTGACCCTGTGCCTCGTGTCGCGTCGTCCCATTTCGGAGCTGAGTCGGATTTTGAGCTCGAGTGGAATGAGCGTACCAGACGTTTCGACTTCAACTAGCTCTGGGCCAGCTTCTACGTGCTCAGGCATCTCGAGCTTAAGCTCCAGATCAGTTCGGTCAGGACTCGGATGCTAAAGAGGACTCGATCCACAAGGCTATAGAGTACAATCGCGGCACGGCACATCGCAATTCAGCACAGCACGGCACAGCACGGACCTTGGCACGGTACATCCACATCGATACACTCAGCATTGCGACTGCCCGTCGCCCAATCAGGCGTCTTGAAAACGTTGCCGTGCCGCACATTTCGAGATTCCTTTCAGGATTCGTGGGTCGATCATGTTCGACTGTCCCTGGGGCCCTGCGAACACCCCCGGAGCCCGAAATTAGGGTGGTGGTGGGGGGGGGGGGGGGCGAAACGTCGTTAAATTTTACCGCGCGAGCATGTCTCTGCAGGCTCGCGTCGCCCGGCCCTCCTCCTCGCGGCCAAGCCGAAGAGGCGCGCTGCCGTTCACGAACTGGTCCAGATCGCCCTCGGCCGGCAGGTCTGGCAGCTTGGCCTCGGCCGGCCGCCATTCGCCCGCAGCCCCCCTCATCAGTCGTGCCGCCAGCATCGCAGCCGCCGCTGCTCATCCTCCTCGTCCGCGGTCTCCGTTCTCCTCTCTCCTCTCTCCCCTCATCTCTCCTCCTCATCCTCCTCCTCCTCCTCCTCCGCCTCCTCCTCCTCCCGCATTTCATTGGCCAGGAGCTGAAAATGGCCACCAAGAGTCGAGGTTCCCCGTTGAGAGATCGGTTCAGTTGGTGGTGGACGCAGCTCCACACACTTCTTTACGCTCTCGCCCATCACCGTCGGAAGGGCAAGGGAGAGAAGCAGCAGACACGGGATCTGGAGCTGGTGAAGCGGCACCTCGACACACGTCCAGAGCGTGCCCACACTGTTTTACTCCCAGGCAAGGAGATTGAATGGCATGAATGGTTGGATGCTCTTCAGAACGCGGTTGGTTTTTCTACTCACAAGTTGGACGGCCTGGTCCAAGGGGCCAATAGGATCAGCAGTCGGGCCCAACGACAGGCCGTCCAGCAGTCTCTGAGCGAGTTTCAAGAGTTTGTTGCTGACAAAGCATTTCTGAAGATTTTGCATCGGTCGCTCTGTCCTACAACCTTGGTGGATCAGGAATTTGAGTACCAAGGCCAAGTCCTGTGTCATCCGCGTGATATCATAGACGCTAAGTCGACAAAGTGGCATGACAAGTGCGCCCCCACGCAGCTGGACGAGAATGTGGTCTTTCGAGACTTCCAGAAGGTCGAGGAAGCCGCGGAGGGCGACCCTCTCCAACCCATCGGAGTGCACGACATAAGGGAGGCGCTCAGGAAGATGAGGGCCTCTACTGGCTTGGGGGTGGACTTCCTCTCGCCAGCGGACCTGGAGCGGCTACCAGACACGGCGCTCGCTGAACTGGCCCTGCTCTTCGCCGCCTGCGAGGAAGGCCTGTGCTGGCCAGGGCAGCTGCTGCTCATCTTGGGGAGGATGCTCCCCAAGAAAACGCAAGGTGATCGCATCATCGGTCCCGTGCCTCTCCTCGGCTGGCTCTGGTCCATGATCAGGGAGCCGCTCGTGCGCGAGTGGGCGGCGGAGATGGAGGGAGAGGTGGGATGCTGCAGTGCGTGGCAACTCTAGTCTACGTGAAGCGTATCTTCGGGCTGTGCAGGAGGAGATGAGCGTGCACCTTCATGTGAGCGTGGGCCACGGTCTGGTCGACATCGATGGCTTCTACGACTCGATCAAGTCATCATCAGCATCAACCTCATCAACATCACCATTAGCAGCAGCAGCAGCATCAGCATCTTCATCAGTCATTTCCTTCTCTTCCTCCTCCTCATCATCATCCTCCACTTCCTCCACCTCCTCCACCTCCTCCTCCTCCACCATCTCCTCGTGTTATTCCTCCTCCTCTTCCTCCTGATATTTCTCCTCCTCATCATCATCATCCTCCACTTCCTCCTCTTAACCCTCCTCCTCCTACGGTTCCTCCTCCTCCTTGTCCTCCTCATCCTCCTCCTCGTCCTCTCCTCCTCGTTTTCCTCCTCCTGGTCATCCCATCATAATCCGCATCATCGTCCCTCCTCTGATTATTACTAAGCATAGCAATAGTATCAATAGCATTGATAGGCAATTGGTATTAGTAATGTTACAATAATAGTAGTAGTATGGGTAGCTGTAGTATTAGTAGTACTACGAACCGTGTCAATAATCCGCCGACCCTGTCGGCGTGTGTGAGGGGCTTTTCCGTTCGAGCCGTCATCTCCGTCATTCTTTGTACTCGTCGTCTCTGTCCTTCCCTTTCCCTGGGAGACCTCTTCCCCTGGGCTCCAGCCAAGCCGACCTTGAGCAACCTCGTAATTGAGTCGAAGGGAAGCCCCTTCCCTTTGATCCCTCCCCCGCCGGGAGGGGGGGGGGGGTAGCGACCCCCCCCCCGGGTCAGATACGACGCCCCCCCCTGGGACTCCTCTTCCCCTGGGCTCCAGCCAAGCCGACCTTGAGCAACCTCGTAATTGAGTCGAAGGGAAGCCCCTTCCCTTTGATCCCTCCCCCGCCGGGAGGGGGGGGGGTAGCGACCCCCCCCCCGGGTCAGATACGACGCCCCCCCCTGGGACTCCTCTTCCCCTGGGCTCCAGCCAAGCCGACCTTGAGCAACCTCGTAATTGAGTCGAAGGGAAGCCCCTTCCCTTTGATCCCTCCCCCGCCGGGAGGGGGGGGGGGTAGCGACCCCCCCCCCCGGGTCAGATACGACGCCCCCCCCTGGGACTCCTCTTCCCCTGGGCTCCAGCCAAGCCGACCTTGAGCAACCTCGTAATTGAGTCGAAGGGAAGCCCCTTCCCTTTCATTCCTCCCCCGCCGGGAGGGGGGGGGGGGTAGCGGGGGGGGTAGCGACCCCCCCCCGAGTCAGATACGACGCCCCCCCCCCGTACCGACCTTGAGCAACGTCGTCATTGAGTCGAAGGGAAGCCCCTTCCCTTTCCCTTCCCCGACGGGGGGGGGAGAGGAGGTCCCGGGGGGGGTCCCGGGGGAGTCCCGGGGAAGTCCCGGGTCAGATACGACACCTCCCTCCCCCACCTTCTCGTCCTTCTCCCCGTTCCCCCAAACCATCCCACAGCCCGTGCCTCTTGCTGCGCATTGCGAACAGGGTCGGCGGCACCGGCCGTCAGGCCTTCGCAATAGTAGTAGTAGTAGTAGTAGTAGTAGTAGTAGTAGTAGTAGTAGTAGTAGTAGCAGCAGCAGCAGCAGCAGCAGCAGCAGCAGCAGCAGCAGCAGCAGCAGCAGCAGCAGCAGCAGCTTCAGTAGTAGTCAATAGTAGTAGTAGTAGTAGTAGTAGTAGTAGTAGTAGTAGTAGTAGTAGTAGTAGTAGTAGTAGTAGTAGTAGTAGTAGTAGTGTGTGAGTAGTAGTAAAGTAGTAGTAGTAGTAGTAGTAGTAGTAGTAGTAGTCAGTAGTAGTAGTAGTAGTAGTAGTAGTAGTAGTAGTAGTAGTAGTAGTAGTAGTAGTAGTAGTAGTAGTAGTAGTAGTAGTAGTAGTAGTAGTAGTAGTAGTAGTAGTAGTAGTAGTAGTAGTAGTAGTAGTAGTAGTAGTAGTAGTAGTAGTAGTAGTAGTAGTAGTAGTAGTAGTAGTAGTAGTAGTAGTAGTAGTAGTAGTAGTAGTAGTAGTAGTAGTAGTAGTAAGTAGTAGTAGTAGTAGTAGTAGTAGTAGTAGTAGTAGTAGTAGTAGTAGTAGTAGTAGTAGTAGTAGTAGTAGTAGTAGTAGTAGTCGTAGTAGTAGTAGTAGTAGTAGTAGTAGTAGTAGTAGTAGTAGTAGTAGGAACAGTCGTAGTCGTAGTCGTAGTCGTAGTCGTAGTCGTAGTAGTAGTAGTAGTAGTAGTAGTAGTAGTAGTAGTAGTAGTAGTAGTAGTAGTAGTAGTAGTAGTATCAGTACTAGTCGCAGTGGTGGTAGTAGTAGTAGTAGTAGTAGTAGTAGTAATCGTAATAGCATTAGTGGTGTGATGAGTATCCTATTCCCTTCTCCTCTTCCTCATCCTCCTCCTACTGCTCACCCTCCTCCTCCTTCTCATCATCATCATCCTCTTTCCCCTCCTCCTCCTCCTCCGCCTCCTCCTGTTCCTGTTCCTGTTCATATTCCTGTTCCTGTTCCTGCTCCTCCTCCTCCTCCTCCTCCCCCCTCCTCCTCCTCACTCCTCCTCGTCCTCCTCCTCCTCATCTTCCTCCTCACTCCTCACTCTTCACTCCTCACTCCTCACTCCTCACCCCTCACTCCTTATTCCTCACTCCTCCTCGTCCTCCTCCTCATCTTCCTCCTCACTCCTCACTCTTCACTCCTCACTCCTCACTCCTCACCCCTCACTCCTCATTCCTCACTCCTCCTCGTCCTCCTCCTCCTCCTCTTCCTCCTCCTTGTCCTGCTCCTCCTCCTCCTCCTCCTGCTCCTCCACCTCCTCCTGCTCCTCCTCATCCTCCTCCTTCTCCTCTTCCTCCTCCGTAGCCATTTTGGCTCAAGTGTTTCGCTCAGGGCTTGACATTGTGGCAAGGGGATCAGCGGCCCCAACAGCTTGAGCCTCCACAGAGGCCTGCCCTGGCAGGAGGCTCCTCTCGCCTACATTCTCAATACTGTACTGCGGGTTGCCCGCACCCCTTTGCGACCATCCTGTACAGCACGGGCGCCTCGGCCCTAGCTGCCCAGGCGCGATGGTTCCTTCTCTCTCGGGCCATCGACAGCAAAGGAGGGCATGGGCGTCGCCGTGGTACCGCAAGCACTGCTGGTCGCCGCCAGACAAAGACAAATGGTGGAACAGAGCGGATTGTGAGAGTTGTACCAAGTGTGGACAGCACAAGTCGACGGCGCTTGCGGGGCACAAGCAGCCGCTTCTGCCGTCGAGGAGCGTTTCGCAGAATGTTGCCGTGCAGGGGAGTAACGCGGCGACAGCAAAGTTGGAGAAGGAGCTCAAGAAGTGCAAGGACGAGCTGGCGCAGCTCAAGTCCGTCGCAGCCCGCGTGCCTGACCGCATGGACGTGGACGACGGGGCCGTGGACCCCGCGCTCCAAAGCGGGATGGAGGGCGCGCCGCGCAAGCAGTTGGCCGACACGTCCGCGCACATTGAGGCTCTCAAGGACACCCAGGACCCCGACGTCGTCGAGGCGCTGGGCAAGCTGCGCGCGAAGCAGCAGGACTTGCGTCAGAAGTTGGCGTCGGGCAAGCCTCTGGATGTTCGGATCAGGGAGATTGGTTTTCAGCATCAGTAGTTGGAGAAGCGGCGCGAGAAGCAGGAGGCAGCCCAGTCTGTGCTCGAGGCCGCCGAGCGCGACCTGCAGGAGGCGCAGAAGGCGCTGCGCGACACCCCGAAGGAGATTCTCGAGCTGGAGGAGACGCGGCGGCAGCTGGTGGCGCCCACGCCGGAGCCCGCGGAAGGTGACGGCGGCCTCTCTCGAGCAGGTCCTCCCGCAGGCGGCTGGCCTTTCGGTCGCGAGGCTGGGCGAGATGCTCAGCAGCTTCGGCGGCGCGCAGTCGATGGCTGA